AAATCTGAAAAGAAATGGGAAAGACCTGTATACTGAAAACTATACAATTTTGCTAAAAGAAATGAAAAAAATCTTAAGATATCAATTTTTTCCAAACTGATCCATAGATTTAATGCAATTCCAATAAAAATTCCAGCAGACTTGTCTATGGAAATTGATAAACTGATTCTAGAATTCATATGGAAACACATAGGACCTAGACAAAACAAAACAACTTTGAAATAAGAACAATGTTAGAGAGGTGTAAAACTACCTAATTTCAAAGATTATTTAAAAACTAGAGAAATCAAAACAGCATAGCATTTGCATAAAAATAAACAAATAAATCAAGGAACAGAATAGAGAATCCAGAAATAAACCCACTTATACCAGGACAACGGTTTTTTGACAAAGGCTAAAAGGCAATGCAGATGACAAAGGTCAGTATTTTCTTTAATAAATGATGCTAGAACAAATGGATATCCACATATAAAAAGATGAACTTGAATCCACACCTTGTGTCACATACAAAAATTAACTCAAAATGTATCATTGACCTAAATGTAAAACCTGAGACTATAAAACTCATAGAAGAAAACAGGAGAAATTATTCATGTACTTGAGTTAGGTTAAGATTTCTTAAATACAATAAAATTCATAACAAATTGATAAATTGGACTTAAGCAAAGTAAAAAACCTATGACCTTTAAGACATTGTTAAGAAAATGAAAAGAGAAGCCACAGAATGGAAAAAAAAATCTTTTTGAAGCATATATCTGATAAAGTACTTGTATGAAGAATATACAAAGAATTCTGTAAACATGATAATAAGAAAATGAACAATCTAATATTCATTTCACCAAAGAAGATACACAGAAATCACACAAAAAGATGCTCAATATCATTAGCCATTAGGGAAGTGAAAATGAAAACCACAATTATACACCTACTAAAGTGGCTAACATTTTTAAAACTTGCAAAATTTTTAAAATTTTAATATTTTTTAAAAATTGCAAGTATTGGTAAGGATGTAGAAGAACTGGAATTCACACACCCTGCTGGTATATGTATGATATAGAACAATCACTTTGGCAATTTTTAAAAAGTTACATAGACCTACACTACCTCATCATCCAACCATACCCCTTCTAGGTTTTGCCCCAGAGAAAAAGCATATGTGCATACAAAAACTTGTGCATAAATGTTCATAGCAGCTTTATTTCTAATAGCCTAAAACAGGAAAAAGATTCAAATGTCCATCAACAGAAGAATGGATAAACAAAATGTGGTATATTCATACAATGGAATACTGTATGCCATTAAAAAGGAATGAATTATTGAAACATGTAACAAAATAGATGAATCTCAAAATAATCATGTTGAATGAAAGAAGTCTGATCAAAAAATTACATACCTACATGGTCCAATTTATATAAGAATCTAGAATATACAAACTAATCTATAGTGATAGAAAGATTAGTTGATGCTTAGGGATAGTGATGGTGGGGAAGAGGAGGGAGAGGAGGAATTGCAGGGAGGCACAAAGTACTCTTTGGAAGTGATAGTTATGTACACAGTCTAGATTGTAATGTGATTTCACATGCCAAACTTACCAAATTTTTACTTTAAATACAGTCATGTGTCACTTAACGATGAGGATATGTTCTGAGAAATCATTATGCGATTTTGTCATTGTGCAAACATCATAGAGTGTACTTACACAAACCTAGATGGTATAGCCAACTGCACAGATAGGCTATATGGTATAGCCTCTTGCCCCGAGGCTACAAACCTATACAGCATGTTACTGTACTAAATACTGTATGCAATTTTAACATGGTGGTAAGTATTTGTGTATCTAAACATTTCTAAACATAGACAAGGTACAAGAAAATATGGTACAAATCATAAAATGATACACCTTTAAAAGGCACTTGGCATGAATGGGGTATGCAGGACTGGAAGTTGCTCTGGGTGCGTCAGTGAGTAGTGAGTGAACGTGAAGGCCTATATTACTGTACACTATTGTTGACTTTATAAACACTGTACATTTAGGTTACACTAAATTTATAAAAATAATTTT